GACTAGGTGAGTTCCTCTAAGTCTTCCTGCCGATATAACCGAGTTGCGAAAACATGGTCAAACAACTTCTATAAAACAAAAGGAGACTGCGACCACACAAAAGGTCATACCATCTTGGTCTTCATACCGGATTTAATGCAAGGCCTGGCTACATTGGAATGATAACGTGTCACCACAATACGCTCAGCATGGTCTTGAATCCCGTTGTGATAGCTGATGAGACCGAGGCTTGATCAAATTTGTAGTCTAAGCTATATAAGAAAACCTTGTGGGAAGCAAGGATAAATGCACTTCATTTGTTTCGTTTGGCCTACTCCTGCCATTTCGGTAAATTTCGACATCAGTTCATAGCTAACTAGGTACGTATTCAATAATTAATGATATTTCTGACGCAGACTCACTCGGAACATGAATTTTAGTCACCACGGGTCTCACAATATGATGACGGACTGATAGTTGGATTTATACAAAATGTATTCTAATTCGGGCTGGACTGCCACGAGCGTCCCTGGGGCACAACGAAGACCAAGGAAAACAAGACCTGAGGCCTCTTGATCTCATTGTGGTAAAAATTCTACTATTACTTCTTAAACACCTATAGCTCTTTCTTTGTGGCTACTGATAATCTCGAAAATCTACTGTCTCTGAATATAAATGACATAGTCAATTGTATTGGCAAAAATAAAAGTTTGAAGCATCAACAATACCAATACAAAAATGTACTGGCAGTCTCGAAACTATAATCTAATACGAAAATAGGCTCGATAACCTACTTTCTCTTAAAACACTGGACACAATTGCTGCATCGCCAAACTACAATTTCTGCTCTTTCACTTTTTACTATCGAGAGCTTTTCATATCACTGCCGTGTTACTCAGACTCTTGAGCTATTCTTGCGATTACTTCCATTTAGAGTGAAAGTGCTTGTTGAAGAAATTCGAAAGTTGCTCCCACCGGAATACGATGGCAGATTCCTCCTGACCAGCTGTCTATAATGTTTTAATATAATATTCCTGTTGACGCTGTTTCAAATGCAATCTCCTTCAATTCCAATGAACACGTGCTAAGCTTTTGTTCGCCGTATAACTTGACTCGCCAGCTTCAATAGGGTCTTAAGGTTGGTACCCTGCTCTGCTTTGTGCGTTTTCACCGGAATCGAAGGTGATTGCCTCGAAAATAGGGTCAACAAGTATGTTCCAGTAAAGCCAATCGACAGCTGTTCAAGAGGAATCCGCCATCGTCTTTTGGTGGGATCGACCTTTAAATCTCTTTGTCAAGACATTTTAACCCGAAGTGGAAATAAGCTCAACAATTAGGAAACAAGAGATTCCTCTAAAACCAACTTTTCCTGAAATATTCCCTTGTTGGTCTATCAACCCAACAGATGTCTTTGCGAAGCCTGGCTTGAGCATTATCGCGTACATCTCGGCCTTCTGCGTTGCAGTCCTTTGATTCAATCCGCCGGTACCAATCTCCGTCTTTTCTCCTCCATACTCAAGCATCACCAGACTTTCTCCAATCATGTCCTACACGATGGCCCTATTCCGACGGGTCAGTGCCCAGATGAAGAAACAGAACTAACGAAGGTAATCTGGTCCGGGCTAGAGCTTCCACCAAACACATTAAAGCGCTGGTTGTCTCGACGTCATGTGCTGTTGCAACAAGGCCTGGCTGTGGAAAGCAAATCGGCAGATCAGGTGATGCTGACTTCGAGGAGACGACGTCATGGCACCGGAGTAGCTAAGACGAGCCCAGCAGTCACGATAGCCAGTTCGACCTCCACAAAAGTCAAGCGCCTACTCAGTGCTCACTATCCGAAGGGAGGACTTGGCCGAGGCCCTTTGGGCCCTCCTGATTCTGAGGAAAATAAGAGAGGCAGGCGCGACAAAATCCACGCTCTGGCTGCTCACAACATGGTAGATGCTGATTTTGTGGTCATTTGAAGCGAAATTAGATGAGCTTAACCATGCATAGTCTTAGAGAAGCCTCATCGACCTAAAGTCTGCCACCTCAAAAAATATAAAATAAAAAATTAAATTAAATTAATAAATAAAAATTATAAAAAAATATAGTTGGGCCAATACAAAAGGGCAATTAACAACTTTTCAGTGCAGCTTTCACTTTACTTTTACAAAAT